GGGTATAGGTATCGGCAGATGGGTGAACGACTTGGTGTCAGTCCCTCGGTAATGTCTCGGGCCTACAACCGATACCTGGAAACAAATCGATTCGAGCGACACCCTGGACAAGGCCGACATCGAGAGACGACTCGCCGAGACGATCGAGCATTCATTCGACACGCCCTTCAAGAACCTTTTGCTCCAGCAAACATCATCGCCCAAAACTTCCCCAACCGTCAACATCAACGACAACATCAACAACAACAACAACAACAACAACAACGACAACGACAACAACAAAGACCGCCTTGAAACATTTCTCGAACAACAGTAAGGAATCGCCTTCACGAAGCTGGACTGCGTGCTCGAAATGCTGCTCGTGGGCCGATGTTGATCGCTGCACATCGTAAAGCTCGTTTGTAGTATGCTCGTAACCATATGAACTGGCCCATGAGAAACTGGAACAATGTTCTTTTCTCAGATGAATCTCGATTTTGTCTGTATGGTAACGACAGAAGACCTCGAGTTTGGCGCCGTACAGGAGAACGTATGCACAACGCTTGATGCGTTCAGTAGCCGCTTACAATGGAGGATCAGTAATGGTTTGGGCGGGAGTTTCACGAGGATCTCGAACTCCTTTGGTTATTGTTCGAGATAACCTCAATGCCAGGCGTTATATCGACCATATTCTGAGACCTCATGTGTTACCAATATGGAGAAACGCGAGAAGATTCATTCTTATGCAGGATAACGCAAGGCCTCATACGGCGAACATCACTCGTCGATTCTTCGAGAGAAACGACATTCAGTTGTTAAGGTATCCTGCAATGAGTCCTGATCACAATCCAATTGAGCATGTCTGGGACATTTTGGGCCGCCGATTGCGTCAGAGTTACCCAAACCTCCGAAATTTAGCTAAATTAGAGATAGCTTTGATAAGAGTTTGGCGTCATCCTCATCGGATCATCCTCAGCGGATGATCCGCAATTGCATTTCCAATATGTGGCAGCGATTGCAAGCTGTGATTCAGAGTAGAGGCGGAAATACTCGATACTAAACACACACATATACACACACACATTCACACAATTTGGAAAGTGAGTTTGGAGTCGTAAAATACTGTGCAGCTGACGAGCCACGGGGTCTCTTCTTTCCAAAAATCATTCGCACACGTGCGTAAACACAAAAGAAGCATCAATCCGACCGAGCAACCTCCACGTGGTATGCTTTGGATAACGCTAATGCCAGCGGTAAATCCGTCATCAATCGCTAGAGAATAATATTTTATAGTCAGTGAAAAAAAAAAAAAATGTTTTTCTTTCAATTTTTTTTTCGTATTTCGTAAATTAATCGTAAACAGACACAAAATTGTGTAAACAGACGAAAAAAGATGGAATTTTTTGATTTTTAAAAAGTTTGCTTCAAGTTAAGCAACAAAAACCTTGTTCCTTTAATTTTTTATAAATTTTGATCAATTGGTCCGAAAATACCGCTGAACCGATCACTCCAAAAATTTAGGGGGTTGTTTAGGGGACATTAGACTATAAAATTTCTCTTTAACCGTACCTTTTCTGCCCATATTACTGAAGATACAGTCAAGTAACCAAAAAAGGGGAAAATGTCACTTTTTTCACTTTTTTCAATTCAATGTTAGAGATGGAAAAAAATTTTTCTCTTTACTAACGTTTGACTGTATTTCATCGGAAATTTTATGCAGATGATGAAATTCGGTGTCCGCTCGCTGTGCGACCAGTAGTTCCAGAGATATCGAATTTTGAATGCAAAAGGATCCTTTTGCATTCAAAGTTCGATATCTCGGAGACAAATGATCGTAATTGAGCTCCGCGAAAAGCAACGTGAAGCTGAATAAACAGGCTAAAAGACCTGTATATTGGCGTAGCTCGAACAAATTTTTCCATGCCCGTAGAGTAAGAAACAAAATGTAAGAAATTTGGATAAAATTTGTTTTGCGCTTAGTATAAGGATTGCATGAAATACGGAGCTACAAAAAATTTTTAACCAAAAAAACTAAAAACTAGAGTCTTCAAGCTTCAACAGCTTTATTTTTTTATTTCCTGTACGACCATTTCTCACTGAAATACCGCCTGTTGAAAATCAGCCAAAAATTTGACAAATTTTTTTGTTCCCTTAATTTTTGCGAGGAGTGTATGTGGTCAAAGTAACAGTTCAAAGTCATAAGAAAGTCAAATTAATTATTTTTTTCAGAATGCATTAATTTATAAAACTGTCAAAGTATGTTTCATGAATTTTCAAAAGGGTAACAGGATGGTGATCTTAGATTTAACCTTCAAGGTTATCTTTAAGATCATTTGAAGGTGAACTTCGTTTTTATTCAAACGATGCTCTATTTTGTATTGTAGATTCAGTAGTGAGGTTAAAGTAACAGCTTGAGGTTGAGGTCAAATTGTTTAATTGGCAATTAACTCTCTTTTTTTATTTAGAATTCTTAGTCCATCTTCCTATCAATTCATTGTCCACCAAAGTTGAGTTGATTTTGATCCAAAAAAGTTCTTTTCTTATCGAGTACATTTCTCCATACCAATTTACATACATATCTTTGCTGAAGATTACAACGTAGTCTGTTTAAAGAATGAGAAGAAAAAATGTCGGTGTGTAAATAATTATTTTCATTCATGATTGCTTATATCATTGCTTGTATTTTGTCATTGGTAGAATATCTAATGCCCAAGGCATACGGCTAGAACGTGTAACACAATTCATTATTTTATTTGCGCGTATAGGAGAATAAGTAATAAATAAATGATAATTTATTCCCACAAGTCATACACTAGGCCCGTGCCCAAATGTCGTGTCACTAACTATTTTTAAGGAGAAGGTGCGGGAGGCTCATTTGCGTCACTGCAAATGTGACGATGGGCCTCGTCACGATGTTGGGGGGCTGGATGTTAATTTAGAATGGGAATGACGAGTACACATAAAAATGACTCTCAATAACCCTAAATTATATTTATTGTCCATTACTACACACAAAAATAGAGACGACGCGGATTTACGCGTCGTTCTCTGCGGCTGCGTGCCTTCGCTCGTGCTCAAGCATACACGGGCGCACGGTACAAGAACAGCTTTGAAAGGCAACGAAGAGACATCGCCGTGATCACCGTGCTTGCGGATGATCGCAAGCACTTCGCAGTCGTGTCTCTCCTTGCCATTCTGTGCCTAGCATCGTCCCTGTTCTTGGACCTTGCTGCTCTACGATGGGCGATTCTGGTAATTTATCGCTCTCTCCTCTAGCACGCGCGCTTTCGGCTGTCACGGTCGATACTCTCTAATCAAATGCCGAACTTGAAATCTACTTTCTCTCCCCACCGCGAATGTGCCGGCTTGAGCAACGCCGGCGGCTTCACTTTCGCAAGCGAATCGATCGCTCGAGCTCATTCCCTCATCTTACACGACATATCTTCTCCTCTCTCTTCTCGACGCTACCGCTCCCTCTCCAAATTGGCTCTCACTAACAATACCGGCCACAGGTATTGGTTCTGAAATAAACGTTGCGGGGATCGGTAATGGTTTTTGGCTTGTATCATGTTCGCCATGACCACAGTGAAGGAGCAAGTCACGGAAGAGAGAGAGAGAGAGCGATTCAGACAGGCCCGGCCACTCCGGTCAGAGCGCCATCACAAACGTGAGAGACGGAGACAAAGAAAAGAAAGAGATGAAAAGAAAACAGAGCGCGTAAAGCTTCAAAGATTGGCCAACGAGATGATCGCCAAGCTTTGTTGCCGTCGTCGGAAGAAAATTAGTTTTTACCCCTCACGCACACTTACCGTTATGAACGTTCATATGGTCGACAAGTGTGAGCGAGGAACACCAACAATAGTGACGACAGCAATAATAACAACAGCGGTGATCGTGGCCAGAAAGACCGTCTGTGAGGAAGAGGGAGGCAAGTCAAGTTTCGGCGTACGTCATCATCGGCTAGCATTTGTTGATTGAAGTGAAATAAATAGTACGCGCACCGCATCCTTGATTATCTTTTAAACCGACTAACCGTTGTCATTATTCTATCAAACCTCTAGCTTTTACATATCCGGAAACGAATTTGTATTCTACACCAAGTGTTTTCTGTTTATGCAATTTCACGCACATTATCAGGTATGTACTTTCTAATCGTATACCAGAATGATTGATTTTATGTTGCTTATTAGGGTGGCAGTGAACCTCGCATTGAGGAAGAAATAATTTGTCGCATAAAAGTTTAACTAGGGAGTTGAATGACTTATTTTCTCTCTTATTACGCTGAATTTTATTCGCTGAAATTATTAAGAATGTTAAATTACTTTCAAATATATGATACATGTTTTCGATGTATTTTTTAATCATAACACATTGATGCTATCGATTTTATCATAAGATTTATCTAAAGAGTATTAGCAGCGTAAAATAGCGAAAAATTAGAATGCTAAATCGTTTTTATTTTTTTTAGAGTATATTTTCAAAACTTTTAAAAATCGAAAATCTATGAAAATATTTAAAAGTAAAAGTACACAATATATATTTTATTTAGTTACGAGTAGACCATCATTTTTAAAATATCGAATTTAAAAATGTTACATAATTTAATTCGGCTAATTTTGTAGTTAATGGAAATTCATAACTTGGAAAGAATTGTTTGCAAATATCTAATCTACTCCAACTTCACATCATAAAAAAAATACGTAAATTTTTTATATTTTTTTCAAACGAAAGTCAAATAATATCATAAAAAATAATTGAATTCTTCAACAGAATAATTTTTAGATGAAAGGTGAACGAATTAAATTTTTAATCATTCTGATGATTCTTAATAATTTCTGACTGAGATTTATTGCTGAATCTATTTTGATTCTGATATGCTTTTATTCAAACTAGCGATTCTGGATAAAATCAGAGCAAAATAAAAAATAATTAAAACGAGGTCAAAGTAAAATGAAAATAGAATTAGTACTACTTAAACAGGCTTTATATATCTTATAAGTCTTAATGTTCGTTTTACTTACCAAATCGTGTAACTCAATATCTTCCTGAATATTACATAACTTTTTATTTTGCTGTTGGGTTTCTACGATGCATCGTTGTTGTCTGAAACTATTAATCAAGTATAAATTAATATTAATATATTATATTTAATCGAGATTACAAGTAAATGCATTTTTGAACTGTTTGAAAACTTGAAATAAATATTCTTAATTTTGATAAACTGAGTGAAATTGAATTCGAAACATATTTGAAATAAACTTTTATTCAAAACAATTAGTATACAGAAATCATAATTTCGATTATGATAACGAAATATCAGTTTTTAATTTCATAAGACAACGTCTTATTGTTAGTCTGTCTCTACAATTAGTAAAACGGTTGGCTGTGCATGTTAAAATTGCCATTTAGTAGTCAAATTCAAAATTATAATATTTATTCACTAATTACTTTTAGCAACAAAAATTGATTTCGACTTTATATATTGTCGCCTACGTACTGTAAAGGGACTCCTGCTCAACGTATTTTGAATAAAAGCCGAAACATAAGATTGCAGTTTATTCGCGGACGAAAGTTTTGTATGGTGGGTGTTGACGCTATCCTACGCAACACTATGCTCCAACATAAGCGCGTCCAGGGTCTAGCTGACTTAAGTTGTCTCCTTTGTTGAGAGAGAAGTCGGCTCGCGGAGAGTGCTATGAGCTACGAGAAAATCAACCAGAAAATAACCAAGAGGGAACGAGGCGCTAATCAATAATGCGATTGAATATTATGGGAAGAGCGGAAGCGGTATGGTTAATAACTTGGTATAAACTTTGGCTAAACAGTGCTCTGTATTGATAAAAGGATCAATAATACAAGAAAAGTGTAGATTGCAAAACTCGGCGCAAATCGAGAGACGTATATACATCGCGCAGGTTAGTGCTACTTGAGTACTCGCAAATGCGCAGTCAAAATAGATGTTACGCACGCACCGTACAGACTGACGGAATGTAAGCTCGCACCGCTTTGTGAACCGCCACTGATAGAAAGCGAGCCGGCGCGCCATATACGAACAGGTAAGCGGACGCGCTTACTCCGTCGCACTCACGAAGGCGATTCGATGCGAATGTTAATCGATGCGACAAATTGTCGATATGCAGTGCAAATGCGCTTGGCGCACTAGACGTGGTAACGAGCGACTCAATAAAAAAATTAAACAAAGCAAGTGTGAGTAGAAAAAACGTAAGAGAGAGAGAGAGAAAGCCAAACAGCAAGATAGTATTTACAGTGCTGGTCGCTATACTATAGAATAATTAATACTGAATTTAATAATTTAATAATTAGTACTGAATTTGCAGAAATACAAAAGTGCACTCGCTTCACGAAACTAGCCTCGCCTGCGTATACGCTTCCTCTCTTGCGGTTTTGACTTTTAGCGTACGCTCGAATTATCAATGCTGCTAGTCGCGCGCGTGGCAGTTTTTCTTCTGTCCTCATTTCAATGCTTTAGCGTTACACTTCAACTATTCGCCCTTCAGACGAGGTATACACCTGTTGCTGGTTGAAAGCTCATTGATTCTAATCGCGCCTATTGTCTCTCTCTCCTCGAGACAATTGTATCTCCGAGAAGTCCGTGTCACGCGTTTACGATCGAATGATTGACGCGTCACTTACCAGCCCGCTGACGCCTCTGCTGCAAACATCTTATACAAATAAATACATAGCAATATCATAAATATATTTATTACTGACTTCGTGGAGGGAGAGAGACATAACAAACTACAAGCCGTTCGTTATAATACATACGAGGTGTGTTCAAAAAGTAACGAGAATTTTTAAATTTCGCGGGTTTGGAGAGTCCGCTTGTATAAAATTTTTTTTTATTATGTTGGTACACATGCCCCTGAAGTACGATAAAATTTTCAGCAATATTCATTGCTTACTTTTTAAGTGGCAGCCGCTAACGTTAGACGTGTTTTTCGAGCTCGGCGATTTTCGTTTGTGAAAAAAAATGGATCAAAGAATTTGTATTAAATTTTGTGTAAAAAATGAAATAAAGTGTAGTAAAGTTTGTCAAATGTTAACAAAGGCATATAGTGAGTCTGCTATGAGTAAAGCAAGGATTTATGAGTGGTATAAGCGTTTCCAAGATGGCCACGAAAACGTTGAAGATGACGAACGACCCGGACGCCCAAGCACATCAACAACCGATGAAAACGTGAAAAAAGTGAAAGAAATGGTTATGAACGATCGCCGAATCATAATCAGAGAAGTCGCTGATGATGTTGGCATATCAGTTGGCTCATGCCATCAAATTTTTTCGAATGTTTTGGGTATGAAACGTGTGGCAGCAAAATTCGTTCCAAAATTGTTGAATTTCGAACAAAAACAGCGGCGAATGGAAGTTGCTCAAGAGTCGCTAAATGAAGTCAATAACGATGCAGAACTACTAAAACGTCTTATAACAGGTGACGAAACATGGGTTTACGGATATGATGTCGAAACTAAGGCTCAATCGTCCCAGTGGAGGCATTCTGGATCGCCAAGACCGAAAAAGGCTCAACAAGTGCGGTCGAATGTGAAGGTTATGCTCACTGTGTTCTTCGATTTTAATGGCATAGTGCATTATGAATTCTTGCCACAAGGTCAAACAATCAATAAGCAGTACTACCTACAAGTTCAACGTCGTTTGCGTGAAGCAATCCGAAAAAAACGCCCGGATTTGTGGCAAAACAATTCATGGCTTTTGCACCAAGATAATGCGCCTGCTCACACTTCATTGCTTGTTCGTGAATTTTTAGCCAAAAACGAAACTGTAACGATGCCTCAGCCTCCATATTCGCCAGATATGGCTCCACTTTTTGGTGACTTTTTTCTATTTCCAAAAATAAAGAGAACATTAAAAGGCCGTCGTTTTACAAGCATAGATGACATTAAAAGCAAATCGCTGAAAGAGCTAAAAGCTATTACAAAGATCGAGTTTCAAAAGTGTTTCGAGGATTGGAAAAAGCGTTGGCATAAGTGTATTGTATCCGAAGGGGACTACTTTGAAGGCGACAACATTAATGTAGATGAATAAATAAATATTTTTTTCATAAAACGAAAATTCTCGTTATTTTTTGAACACACCTCGTATCAATTTTACCTTTATTCTACTGTACGTGTGTGGTCGACTCAATATTTATTATTAAAGCGGATTAATTAATGTAAGTTTTTATTTCATTCAGATTGTTCACTGTTATGATAATTCAAATATCTAATTTTCAAATTAATGTTTTAGAAATATTCTCGACTATGCATTACATTTATTTCTTCAAGATTAAAAATCAATTTGAAAAGATTTATTAAATATTTTTTATTTGCAATGCCAAAATCGAAATAGTAACCATTGTCAACTTAAGATGCCTTTACTTTGCTTTTGAGAGATAAGCGATAAGAGCGTCAAATAAATTGCTTTGCGACTATTTAAATATGAGATCAGCTGGAAATACCATTTTATTTATACAAAGAAAGTAAGAAATGCAGGGGACAAAATATCAGCTTATCATTCTCATGGTTCATTGGGTGCGTCACTGATACAGACAATATTGTACGAAGGTCGTTCAATAAGTCCATGACTTCTTAAAAGATAGTGCTGTTATCGTCACGTATTTTATACTCTAAGAGAGTCCTATTTAGTCTGAGTATAAATACAAAGTTTCAAGTTAATAAGTTAGTTTGGAAATTATTTAGAGCTATTTGAATTTAATTTGTATTGTGTATACAAAATAGTGAAAAAAGCGAGTTTCATAAACTCATTAAACAATATTTTCTCCTAGGAAAATCAATAAAAAATGATTGATGATAAACTCAGGAAATTTTACGGAGACTATTTTATTGCATGGTTTAGAAGTGATTTACTGAATTAGATTACGATCATAAGAGAACAAGTAATATCTAGTGTACTGGCGTCCAAAAGAGGTGACTACTCAAGAAATCATTGATAAAATTTATGATATTATAACAATTTTTTTTCAATAAACAGAGAAAATCACCTGACAGATTAACTCTTATCTTTCAAAATTTATTGTTTAGATTTGATATATCATTTTTTTTCATTGAGATATCGTTGATTTAAGTTAAATATTTTTGCATATATGCTATTATACGGGAAATTAGCTGTTTCAAAACTGCTAAAATACTTGACTTCAATTAAGGATATTTCAACGAAAAAAATATATCTAAAATCTGAACCATGGATTTTAAAGGTAAGAGTTTATCTTTCAGATGATTTTTTTTATTAATAGAAAAAAATTTTCCTCCGATGTTATAAAACCTCAACTACATTTAAAAAAACTGCCTTTTTTGCCAATACAGATTAGGATATTTGAATAACCTCATGTTATGGACGAATTCTGACTTCAGATTCGAATTTTACACAAAAAATATGTTGGAAATAATCCTCAGTTGCTAAGAACAAAATCATGCACATCGGTATAACCAAAGACCGCGAGAATCGCTTTTTCGCGTTAAGCGATTGCACTAAAACACTGTATATAAATATTGACTCGTATACTTCTGTGACAAAATCACCCGTTGCCACTCATTAATTACTACCTGGGTAAGTGAGGCGTTCTCGCTCATGGCAACCGAGGAGGAAAAGAGAAGAAAGGTCATTAAATAATTTATTCAATATCTATATCATAATAAACCCACCATCTTATTATTAAGAACAAACCAAACTCACGCTATAGCTTAACTAATTCCTACTCTTATTCATATAAAACAACGAAATTACTTAGCCTAATCACAAACATTTCTGCTAGCTCTATTACAATCAAAACGAGATTCTTAACCTATTCTAAATACCGCGATAACATTTCTTTGTAACGTGCGATGAAACTAAAGAATTGCCCAGAAAGTGAATGCCTGGACAATTCACCGACTTAATATTAATTATAATTAACGTACTGTTGCCGGTGGTGTCGGGCTTGAAGTTGCCGGTGATGCCTTTTTGTAATAAGTGTAATGTGGCGGGAGTAACTATGACTCTCTTAAAGGAGGATGGTTGAGTGCGGAGCATTTAGCGATGATCATGATGCGCGTGGTCCATCATTGGCAGATCGCGAGGTATGATTGAAAGTATGTTT